TCTTTCAATTCTTATTCCAATAAAATATTTAATTTCAAATAAATCGGTCATTCTAAATTTGCACATCAAATAATTCTTGAACCTGGTCATAATTTCAATATCTACTGTTGCTATTACTAAATCATCTACGTACAACAATACATACAAATTTTTAAGTATGTTACCATTATCAAGAATGTAAATGCAACGATCAACAGCTGAATTTATAAAACCAATTTCTTTTAATGTCTGTTCAAAAATTTCAAACCAACATCTTGCTGCCTGTTTAAGTCCATAAATTGCCTTATTTAACCTACAGACTTCATTTCTACCGCAGGTTAAACCTTGAGGTGCTACCATATATATTTCTTCTTTTAATACCCCATTCAGGAAAGCAGTTTTTTACATCCATGTGATGAACTTTTAGATTGAATTGGTTTGAAAATGATATCATGAATCGAAAACTAGAGACTCTTGCCACTGGAGCAAACGTTTCATCATAGTCAACTAAATATTCTTGCGTGAATCCTCTTGCCACAAGCCTAGCTTTATGTTTAACTACTTTACCCAGTTCATTATGTTTTATTGAAAAAACCCATTTGCAATCAACTATATTTTTATTTTCTGGTTTTGGTACAAGAGACCATGTTTTATTATAAATATGAGAATCAAGCTCTTCTTTAATAGCTTCTTTCCAATGTAATCTATCATTTCTATATTTGATTTCATTAAATGAATTCGGAGTGCTATTAACAAATGCCTGTGCATTCATCATGCAATTTTTGAAAAATAAGTCATTTTCTTTGTATGACATCTGTGGCCGCTGTTTCAATCTTTCACTTTTTCTAACATTAAATTCTGAGATTTGCAACTGACTATTGTTTTTATTTGCATCCTTTACAGTTTCATCAGTATTAACTGGACCTGCATTGTTTTCACTTGATATGAGACCACTAGGCTGTTTATCTGACTTTAATTGATCAGATTTCCTTTCCGTACTCTCATTCGGGAAAATTGAATTAATTTCTTCCTTACTCTCATTCGGGAAAACTGAATTAATTTCTTCCGTACTCTCATTCGGGAAAACTGAATTAATTTCTTCCGTACTCTCATTCGGGAAAACTGAATTAATTTCTTCCGTACTCTCATTCGGGAAATTTTTATTAGAGTCATTTAATTGTACTCTGTCTTTTACTACAGTCCTAGAATTTATCATATTTGTCTCATCAGCAATAATATCTCTTGCTGTCACAAATTTCCCAGCTTCCACATCCCATAATTTATACCCATTTGGTTCATATCCGACAAGTATACCTTTCCATGATTTTTCATCAAATTTTCGTTTTCTTGTTTTTATATGTACATATACTGTTGAAGCAAATACTTTTAAATACTTCAAATCAGGCTTTCTATTATGCCACATTTCGTATGGTGTTTTCATACCGTCTTTCAATGCTTTACTTGGACTTCTATTAATTAAATATGTTGCTGTTAAAACAGCTTCACCCCAGAAAGTTTTATCTAGTTTTGCTCCACTTATCATAGCACGAGCTTTCTCTGTAATCGTCCTTATCATGCGTTCAGACACACCATTTAACTGTGGGGTATGTGGAACTGTTAAGTGATAACTAATGCCTTTTTGAACACAATAGTCTCGCATCTCTTTTGACAAATATTCTCTACCATTGTCAATATACAAATTCACAACTTTTAAGTTGAAATGAGTTTCACTTTTTGTGATGAAGTCTTTAAAAATGGCAAAAACATCAGATTTAAAAGTCATTAAGTAACTAACACAGTAATGTGTATATTGATCAACAAAAACTATATAATAGTTTTTTTCATCGAGTGTAGAAGGTGTGATCGGACCACAGACATCTGAGTGAACCACAAATAAAGGTCTTCTAATATAATCCTTATTTTTATTCTTATTAAAACATAATCTAGTTTGTTTACCATTTATACAGGCCTCACATAGTTCATTACCTGGCTGTACATCTTTCAATAGACTAATATCTCTAAACATTTTTTTGTTTTTTATTTCTAAAAATTTTGTTCTGCTAACATGTCCTAATCTTTCATGCCACAATTGATAATTACTATTTAGAATAGACTTAAATGCACAAACTTTTTTATACAGTGTAAACTTAACAATTGGTACATTATTTACACACTTATCAAAAATAATTACTTTACCGTTTTTCTTTACTTCAACACCTCCTGGCTTAAATTGTATAGTCATCCCAGCATCTTGCATTTTCTTAATTGAGAGTAAGTTGTGCGGAACATTTTCACAGAACAAAACATCTTCCAAAGTAAGGCTATTTTGAAAATTGTTGCACAGTTTCACTATACCTTTTTTAGTTGCATAAATATACTCTCCACATTTTGCGATTGTTATTTGAACCGGGAAAACCAAGTTGATGTAATCCTCAAACAAACTGTCATTATTTATTATATGATCAGACGCCCCAGAGTCCAAAAGAAATGACACATTTTTGTCTTCAGCAATTTTAGTATTTTTGCTTATCATAAACGCAAAGCCTTTACCTGCTGGAACTTCTGCAATATTCGCTACTTTCTCATTTTCAGAACTTTTATTTAGTAGCCTTTTGTACACATAACAGTCCTTCTTGATGTGACCTTTTTTTCCACAGTGATGACATTTTATCATCATTTTAGAACGGTTTTTAAAGGTTTTAAATTTGTTTCTGTTTTTAAAATAATTTGTATTTATTTTATTTTTATAACTTTCATTTTTGCACACCGCTTGTAAAATTTTTGTGCTAGTCTCTTTAGATTCACTTTTTAATTTTATCTCATGATCAAATAACCGATTTTTTACAAATGCTAGCGTTAAATTATCTTCGGATAATGTCTCAATGGCAGTTATAATTCCATCATAAGATGATGGCAGTGTTAATAGTAAATGAGACACTTTGTCCATTTCGTCAATTTTAGCCCCCGAAGCTAATAACTCACTTATTAAATCATCAAAAATGTTAAAATGGTTTACTAACGGGAAATCCCCTTTTAATTTTAAAGACAATAGTTTTTTTCTCACTGCTAATTGCGATGCTAAGCTTTTTCGCTCGTATATTGCATCTAGGTTTTTAAAAATTTGTTTTGCAGTACATTCAGTACTAGCAAAACTTAGAAACGAGTCACTTAAATATTCGATTATTACACTTTTAGCACTTCTTTCGGTTTTATTCCATTCTTCTGTAATTGTTTCTGGAATGTCACCATCGATTACTTTTAAGGCATCATTTTCTGCTAATAGTGCTCTTATTCTGAATTTCCATATAGAATATTTTTCACCATCAAATGGTTTAATGTTTCTTTTTATTTTGTCCATATTCGCGCAGTGGAAGCGTGCTGGGCCCATAACCTGTTAGAATTATTTTATATTTATGTAAAAGAAAACACCGACAATTTATATATATATATATATTTATTAATATGTATTTATTATTCATTCAAACACAACCCATCACTTCAATGTTCAAAATTATACTAAACTCTAAAAGGCATTATTCGCCTCAATATGCTCGTATGCTCTTTACACAATAAGCAAATTCCAGGAACAGGCAACAACAGCAACGCATACGAGACATGACGCCCGTCTGCCTATTGCGATCAGTGACTTCCTTGAAATTGAATCTACGTGATCAATGCATTTTGTTATTGTAAACAAAACTATAGAAACAAAGTACAGTTCTATTCAGTGACTGTATGTCCAACAGTAGGAAACTAATTTTCATTTAATTTTTCTCTTTGATCATTCAGCCAAATTATTACATCCCTTAGTACAAAGGCAGGAGTCTTCATAACAAACAAGCCAGAACCAGTCGCCGAAACATCGTCATCTTTGACAGCAACTGATCTTATGTATAATTCATATACTGAGGTGACATAAGTCCACCCCTACGGAAAAGTCACGCGCGGAAATCATAAATTTCTCCAATCCTTGGAAAATAATATTTTGTTTATCTGAATTGTAACCATTATAATTTAATAATATAATTCTTATAATATATAGATAATAATATTTTGTTTATCTAAAATTATACCCATTATAATTGTTTTGTTTTTTTTGAATAATTAAATAAAGTATTAATAAAATATATAAAATCTACGCTTTTATTTTGGTTCCTAAAGAAACTAGTCCCGAAGATATAAATTTTATTATAACGAACCTGGACAACCGCTTTGCATACCTCAGCAAACATAACGAACGAAAAAAGGACGTTACAAGATGCACAAAAAACAACAAAAACAATAGTTCTATGCAAAATGCTGCAATTTTTCTTTAATTGAATGTCACAACAAAGAGTGTGAATAAAGAAAAAGAGCGAAATCGCATCATATCATACTCTGTTATGTGTTTCGGCAGTTAGAATTACAATAGAGAAGAGCATTACAAAAACAAATAAGATGCTCGAACTATGTGTTAACAATTTTCTTATTTAATATTACAATTTCTTCTTCTTGATAAAACAATCGTTACATTTTTAATTTAATAATAAAATACTTGCCAATACAATTTCTTATTTGTCCCTTCAATTAAATAACAAAATTGTTCGGAGAACAGAAAAAATGTTAAAGGAACAACTTTTTTTGTTAAAGGGTCATCAATAAATTTTCTATTGTAATGTCAACAAACTTCTTTATTAAAAAAATTGTTACCACAAGTAAATAATTGTTAAAGCAACAACTTATTTGTTACATCAAAAACTTTTTCGTCAAATAAGAAAAATGTTATTTTAACAACTCATAATTTTTTCAGTGTAGCAATGCCATCACTAGTTTGAATGTCATATTTAAGTAATGTGTTTCGTATAGACTTAAATAGGTGGCAATAGTCGTATTGAACGAAGACTTTTTTATCTTTGAATACAAAATATGGCTCTTTCTGACTAATGGTAAATAAAGAAAAAAGCCTTTGATTTGTAGCTGACTGATCACATATCACTACAACGGGTCTAAGGTCAATTGATAGAAGAAGTTCCAGGTTTCGTTCAAGTATATCCTTCAAAACGTTTCCTAGTAATACAACGTTGTGATTTCATAAAAATCGTTAAAAATACTTTCTTACCTGTTGCACCTTCTTTAGTTAAATAGTAAGCTAGAATATATTTCCAGTTGCTACAAATTCCTTTTATCATAAGCGTCAAACATTTGTTGGCCTCTTCAGGAAAACGTCTATCATAACCAAAATCTACGAATCCATCGATTTGGTCAGTGAATTTATTATAACATAAATCCCTCCGTATAGACATTTCATCCAGAATAACAGCACATATTTTTTCTGCTTGACTTTTTACTGTCCTCAAATTCTGAATTACTCTTGTGTCAGTACCCGTTTTCATGAATTTTATTGGTCGCCAGCGATGCAAACTTGCTGTGCTCGGCATATTGAATTTTAATTCGTCTCGCATAAATTTATATAAAGAAGCCGAAACATATTCAATATTTTGAGCTAAATATTGTTCTTCTTTATTATAAATGTGTCGTTCACTGACAATCATTTTAGCAAAAGTTAAAGCTTCCTGACTAGCGTTTTCTGCTAAAATACTGGTAAAATACATAGCTTTTTTAGTTTTTCATTTTCATCCTTGTAGTATTTTTTTGATTTGCGCAAAGATGCGATTTTTTTGTTTAAACTAGCAATTACTCTGATACTTTTTATTATTACATGCAATTTCTTTTTTACAGTTTCCAAAGCAAGGACTAATTTCATCCTCATTCCCACATTGTTCAACTTTTTCTTGTTGCTTTATAGATTCTTCAGCATAACAGATGTCAGATAATGTCTGAAACTCCTTCAAAGTCATATCTTCCTGTATTTGATTATCAGCATACGTTTGCTTTACAGGTGTAACGCGCAGTTCCTCTTGCTCTTCTAATATATTCGTACTTATAACCGAGGGTAAATTTTTTGATGGTGTGGATTTACCAATCAGTTTCCTCTTGCCTACTTCATTAGTGTGAAAATGATTTTTACAAATTAACAACTTCCGCTTCTGACTTACTATTCCGCAAACATCTCTCCAGTGTTGGCGGTCATACTCATCAGTAGGAAATGATAATAATGACGTGTTTGAGCGAATAATGTTGCAACCAGAAACATCGCACTTTTTACTCTGTGAAGAACTCGGATTCATTTCTACATTTTCATTGTCTAGGTTGATCAAGGTTATTTAAAATATTCTTATTTGTAATAATATTATTACCAAGAAAGAGAGTAGGTATAGTCGCATGTTTTAATCGAATTTTTCCAATCCATCGCTTATGGAAGTGACGACTACAAATTCTAGTATTTGTATTTAATTCACAATTTCACAACCTCATAACCAAGATTTTTTTCCACTTATCTATTATATCCTTATTGGTCGGAAAACGGTACAAGTGGACGTCATCTGTTATTTTTACACGACAAGATTTTACTATACATTTTTTTTCACTTTTTCCCATATTTAATCTTTTTTTCTCTATAAAATGGTGGTTATACAAATATTAATAATATTATTTTGATATTCAAATTTGTTTTTCTTCACTTCTTAAATATTTATTAAAGTAATTTATTTAAATATGTTTTCATGAATATAGGGAAATATAGCAAAAAATATATTCTTCTTAAAATATATACATTAATTTACTTTATATAATGTATACATACATATATTTTTTCTATGGAAAATATCTATGGGGTTATATTATCATCGATATCAGCGATATTCAACTTGTTGGAAAATTACAAAAAAGAAACTGTTACAAAAAAGATAATTTTTGTATTTTGCCTTGCGGTTCGCCAAGGCTTGTACACTGTAGTTTAAGTAAAAAACTGATTGAAATAATTATTGAACTTGACTTTATTAAATATACTTTTGTTTAATATATAATTGAAATAAACCGTTTAAGAAGCACGTAAAACTTTTTTAAGCACACTACGCAAAACTAGAAAACCAAGCCAAAATTCCGCCAACAACTAACCCAACACGAACTTTTGACATTAGCTGTCACTTGAGGTTTTGGGTGACCAGATGGTTTATAATTTAAAGGTGACCAGTTGTGCTTTTCGGTTTAACAGAAACCAACAAAAAAAACAGTATCAACACATTACATTCCACGGTAATTTGCTGTTTACTATTCGACTCTGGGATGTAATGCTAAAAAATTGCAAAAACAAATGCTATTCAATGTCATTTGGGTGATGCAGAAGTATACAATGGAAATACGATTTTATATTTATTGTTGATGTTGTTGGTTTGCTCTTTTAGTAAACATATTTTTATATACATGTGTATGAATGTATGTAAGTGACAATTTTTAATAAAAACAACGATTTTTGATTTTTCTTATAAAATTTTATTTAATACTTCACGCTATGCAAGCTTAACTTCAACTGCCTTAAAGTTTTTTTTCTGTTTCGAGCAGTAAGTTCTATTTTATCCAATTTAATAGTGTTGAGAGAGAGCTTGCATGTCACTCCTCCCATCTTAGGAATAAGCAATATTTCTATTGCGTTAATTATACATAACATTTTATATATTTTATAATATTTTATATTATATTTTACAAATAATAATTATAATAATAGCATAATAATATAATAGTATAATAATATAATAAAAGTAACATTAATTTCTTCAATTTTTTTCAAAAAATTTTTTTTAATATACGTTAGTTATATTAATATAATCTATTTTAATTTTTTTTTAATCCATTTTAATTGTTTACAAATATATTTTATAAGAGATGATTATAATAACAGTATTCGTTTTAATCGATATAAATTTATACAATACAATATATAAAATAATAAAAAAAACAATTTCATTTGTGACTATTTTAACATTTTTTTTTCGTTTAAATTGACATTTATATTTTCTTATATTATTGTTTTTGAATTTAACTAAAAAGTGTTCATTGTCACTATCAGCTTGAACTAATGCTACTTGCTTAAATGGATTTTTTGTTTTATCAAGACGTTTTCTCACATTTTCAGCGTTGATTAAACCAATATTTATCGAATTTTCTTTTCGTGTTTTATTTAAATTGTTAATTCTATTTTCTTTAAAGAGTTGTGGGTCAAATTCTGGAGGTAATCGGTTAAAAAATATGTTATATGGAGTTTGACCAGTAGTAGAATGTATTATGGTGTGATTATATGTGAAAACGGATTGTTCGAATTGAACATATTTTAGTTCCCTGTCATCTGAGTTGTTAATTATTCTAAGTTTTTCATTCAAGGTTTTATGGAAACGTTCAATGTCTGCTATACCAGTTTTTCCAGTACAAACTTCTATTTTAATATTTAATTCATTACACCATTCTTTGATATTGACGTTATTAATGCCTTGATCTTGGTCAATTTTCAATACTTTAGGAGGTCCCATTGTGTTAAATATTTTAATAAGAGCTCTCTTTGTTTCTAGCCAATTTAATGCTTGTACTTCTTCAATTGTACTGAATTTTGAGTACAAATCTATACATGTTAGAAAATGTTTTTTTTCCCATTCCCAGAAATCTATCACATATTTTTTTCTAATTTCGTAAACTGGAGGAGTGATTTTAAATGGCATTTTGTTTGCAACGTGGTCATATTTGCATCGATTGCACAAATCACATTCATTGATGATTTTAGTAATTTCTTTAAAATAGTTAGGAAAATAATATCTTTTCTTAAATTGATATATAATTTTTTCAATTCCTTGATGAAGTCCTTCTAAGTGGATTTCATGAATTTTAGTTTTAAAGTCGGTGTAATTAGGGATATTTTCCAGTTTCTTACTTGCTCTCAGAATCTTATGACGTCTATTGCAAACCAAGGTTTTGAAAATATTTTGAAATCTTAAAAAGTCTTCATTATTTGGCCTGAAAATAACCATGGTATTAGTTAGTAAAAATGACTTTATAATGTCTTTTGTTTGTTCAGTATTTAATTCTATATATTTAATTGTGGTAACACAATTTTTGAATATATGCTCTACATGTGTACTATTTTCATTAGATCTTATTAATCTCAACTGTCTTTTAAAGACATTGAGTGGTCTTTCCGCAATTGGGATAAAGTTTTGACTATCTGATGTAAAATGAATGGTGGCAATATCAGATGGAATTTCATCAAAATTACATTCTTCAATTTGAATACGTGACAGAGAATCTGTCACATGATTTTCTCTCCCTGGAATATACTTCACAGTGAAATCATATTCATTTAGTTTCCATTTCCACCTTTGCAGTTTAGAGTTGGGTTCTTTTAAGTTGTGAAGCCACTGAAGTGGGCGATGATCACTATTTACAACAAACTTCCTGCCATAGAGGTATGGACGAAAGTACTTTGTACTGCTCGCCCAAACAACAGCGAGCAGTTCTTTTTCTGTGGTAGAATATTGTGATTCATGCTCATTCAGGGTGCGACTAGCAAAGCAAACTGGGCGACCTTGTTGACTTAAAACTGCACCTAGTGCAGTATTTGAAGCATCTGTTGTAAGTGTAAAATCTTTTTTATAATCTGGGTAGACCAAAACAGGGTCTTTTGTTATTAAGATTTTGATTGTATCAAACGCTTTGTTATATTCCCCATCATTTATATTGATTTTGTTGCCTTTTTTTAAGCAATGAGTTAGGGGTTTTGTTATTTTAGAAAAATCTTTTATAAATTTTCTATAGAACCCAGCTAATCCCAAGAATTGTTTAATTTCTTTTTCATTTTTCGGTAGTGGATATTTTAAAATAGCTTCGATTTTAGTTGGATTTGGCCTGATTCCCTCTGGGGTTACAATATGCCCTAAGAATTCGGCTTCTTTCTTAAGAAACTCGCTTTTATCGAATTGGATTTTTAAATTAGCTTCACTTAATCTGCTAAAGACTCTATCGAGAGCTTCAATGTGCTCCTGGAGTGAAGTACTG